TGTGTGTGTGTGTGTACGTATGTGTGTCTATCTGTCTGTGGTCTGTGTCTGTGTGTTTGTGTTTTGTTTTGTTTCTTTCTTCACGTGATTGTAAAAAACAGCAATTTAGCTTCACGAAACTGAATAAAGGGTTCTTCGAACCTAATTCAATGACGTGTACAGTGAAAACTGTTGTTCCTAATGTCCTTGAGTGAGGAATAAAAACCGAACTCAAAAGCAGGGGTCTCAAAGAGATGAATGTGACCAAACAATAAAACTCTTAGCACCACTGTGCTACACAGATGGAATACGGCGCAAAAGACTCATAATGTTGGTGCTTTCTGTGTCACAAGGGTAGAATCGTGTGTTATTAGTTGCAGATTTGATAAAAATGCTCCCATTAGTTGGGTGTGTTTTTGATGTTGTTATCATTATTATTTACTACTGCCTTTGCTGTTGCTGTTGTTGTTCTTGTTCTTGTAGTTGTTGTTGTTGCTACTGTTGCTGCTGTTGCTGCTGCTGTTGTGGTTATTATTGTTATTGCCATTGTTGTTGTTGCTTATGATGATGATGATGATGATGATGATGATGATGATGATGATGATGATGATGATGATGATGATATTTTCATCGTTGATTTGAGACTTTTTTTAAATTTTGTTTTTGTTGATCTTGTTAACAATGTGTTTACCGTTGAAAGATGGCAATGTTGTTAGCGCGAGTCAAATGAAGTTTACAAAGTTATTGGGTTTTTTGTTTTATTTTGTTGCTTTTTGGGGGAGGGGGGCTCAAGAAGTACTGTTGTCTTCGGGTTGCTTTTCTGATGCAAGGTTAAATGTAACGCCGTTACCAAGATTAGGCCTAACACTCAATTGAGTATAAATATGGGCTCTGTTGCTGTTGGTGGTGGTGGTTTTCTTTTGTTTTAGTCTCGCTATTAGTGTTTGTTTGTTTGTTTGTTTGTTTTTACAAACTATTCCCATTTACAATATTTTTGATAACTCTCTGCTGATTTTTCAAAAATAAATGTTACTGGTTTACTCAGTTAAAACGTAATGTTAACGTTCGGGTGTGTGAGTGTGTGTGTGTGTGTGTGTG